AACTTTTGGATCTTGTTGTTTTGTGTCTTCCGTTTTCCAGTCCAGAATTAGGATAACAAATTTTCACTGAAAGTGGCTGGAACAGACCCCAAAAAAAAAACAAATGACAGCTGCAGCTGTGTGTGTGTTTTGAAAGAAGGCAGGTGCGGCTGCAGCTAGCTTCCACTCCACCCAACAAGTGCCTGCCTGCATGTCGATGATATGCTGACTCGAGGATTTCATCTGTTTTTTCATTGTCTCTGCTTCATCTTTTTCAGATGAATCTCTACCTCGTTTCACCGCACATACTTCCCAGCTGATTTGTTGTAACATACTTGGGTTCCGGTATGACTGTAATTCTTAGCTCATAAGAGAAGATCTTGATCTGCACAGACATGCTCCTAGTCCACCTTGTCCAGGAAGACAAATATGACATACAGACCATCATGGATGGCAGACATTATATTGATGGTCCACGCAATAATGCCTCTATCAAACCTTCTGCTCAATCCAAGGACCACGCATGCATGCATCGATTAGGATTTTAAGCTTGATGATCCTACAAAATTTCGAATCATAAACTTTATTCAGAACACATGGTATACATTTAACTGTGTCAGGTGAAACTAGTCTTGCTCAGTTGTGCAGTTGTGCTAAATAAAACTAACGCATAAAAACTCATCTATACTTTCATGTGTCCATGACTCTTTTTGTTATGTTCTGATCAGGTATTCAGGCTAAGCAATGTGGGCAAAAGTAGCAGCGGGTGTTTTCTTTCTTTCTTTCTTTCCCTTCTTTCTTTCTTGCGGTGCCGCAGTGGCGGAGGTATGACCCGCTCCTTTTATTTATTGGACTGTCACTATCACTATGATTTTTCTTGGTTAGCAAAATAATTTGGTATTAAGATTAAGTGGCAATAACTGAACAGATGAAAGAGCATATGAGATATTATATATATTAAGTGTCAAACTGCATTATTGGTGTGAAAGATACTGAAAAGAATTGATTAAAAAATGTGTAGCGGTGCCCTCTACAAAATCATATGCTGGCATATATATAGGAACGGTGTCCATCCTGGTTTCAGTTTTGCAATGGCCATGGTTTCATTAATTTGACCATGGATGCATCATCATCCAACTCAACATTCGTGTAATACTGTATTCATTAAGCATAACTTTTTTCTGATTACCGTGTAATGATTCCTCGTTCATGGAATGGAAGTCCCCCATCATCATCACTACATACATATATGCTTCTTCCATTTCTTCTAGATATAGCTAGTGCTGTCTTTTTATCCCTTGAACACTAAGAGAGTATAGTAATAATGATATTAATTAAAAAGGCTATGCACACGTGCAAAAGCAAGGCTATGCACAAACCATATACTATGAAATTTTAATCAAAGCCTCTATGAAGTAATATAAGTGGCAACTATGTTGCGTACGTCACGGCCAAAACATCATCACGTCATGACGAAAAGGAGTACTGATGCTATGGCACACAGCTACCTTCACTCTACAGCAATATCAAAAGAACAAAACACAACCATGTTGTACTGATCTAACAACGCAATCCAGAACATTACTTTCGTATCCATTAAAAAGATCGATATCGAAATGTCAATGGATTAAATGTTGCAAGCAAAAAAAAATAGTACTGTAAATATAGTGGTCTAAAGGCAATTAACAAACGGCACAGGTTAGTGATTCCGGTTCAAAGTATACTTAGGGCCTCTTTGGTACAACTCAACTTCACATGTGGAGCTGAAGTTGTTTTCAAAAAACGTTTGGTAAAATAGCTTCTGAGGGGAAGATAGGTGAGAGGGAGCTAAGAAAAGTTAGTATTTTCAGCTTCACCGGGGTTCCTGGGCATGTTTGGTAAAATAGGTTCTCAAGGGAAGGCCAGCTTGGGAGCGTCGGCCTGGAGCCACCGGCCTACGCGTGCTGCAGCGAAGCTATCGACCTAGGCGCGGTGCTGTGGAGGAGGAGGCGAGCCTGGCCTAGGCGCGTTGTAGCGGAGCCCCCTGCCGTGGAGCTGACGGCTCTGCCTAGAGCGGCCGGGCGGTGGGGAGCGCAGTTGCAGAAGATGCACCACCACCGAAGGAACCCTATTTTGTGCATAGTTCTAGTGGACGAGAAAAGTAGTGGCAAAAATCGAATCGGTACCTTCATAAGTGGCAGGTGGGTAGTTTCTTTGAACTTACCATTTACATAGCCAGTGAAAGCAGGGGGAGCTACTGTGAGATTTTTAGTAGAGCAAAAACAACTTTTGGCCCAAAATAACTTTGGGTTTGCATCTCTTTGATTGGCTTTTGGATTTTTTTGAAGCCACGGCGGGTTGAAAAGCCCAATCAAATAAGGCCTTAGAAACGATCTCTAGCTAAGAGCGGGCCCTAGAAATATTTTATAAAGAGTAAGGCCATTGATGGTCCTTAAACTTGTCTTGCCGTGCCATCCCGGTCAACTCTCAAAATGCTCATTTAAGTCGTGCTAATAGACTTTACTCTTTTATAAAATATCGTAAAAATATAAAACAACATAAAAATGTCTTTTTTTTGTGCTCAATTTCTCGAGAATTTGAAGCCGTGACCTATCTTGGCACTCGCCTTCCGTATTATCCTTCTACATGGAGCTGGTAACCCCAGCTAATTCTTATATCCAACTAGTAACTAGACCCGACTAATCCAAAACAAATAGATCGTTGTTAGTCCTGTTCAGTCAAGCACGGACGAAATCCATACGTTAGTAATAAAGACCGCCAACAAGTACTCATGACTCGTGAGCGCTCACTGTCCAGTGTGCCACATTTGTATGGTCCCACTAGCCAGGGAAAGAGACACTCACTTCCTGTGAGCGCCATGTGGCTTCTGACCTGTGAGCTTGCCGCGTCGCATGAGTACCCAACAGAAGAATTGCTGCCTGAACGTGGCAAGCCTCTAAGGAGAGCAAAGGTGAGCTGGCACGGACACGGGTCCACATGTCATCAAGCTGCTCATACTAAAGATGGCAACGGGTAAAATCCGCGCGGATACTAGCCCTAGATATCCATACCCGCGAGCAAAAATCCGTGCCCGCGCCCGCGCCCGTTAACCGTCACGGGTAGAAAACCATGTCCGTGCCCGCTATCCGCGGATATCACATGCCCACGGGCACACCCGTATACCCGCAAAAATGAAGCAACAAAGCACCCAACCATATTTTAATAGCAAGTAAGAAACAATATATCAAAAAAAATAAACGTCTATATCTCAACATTAGATAAAGTATGACACATTGACCATACAAGAGTCATCAAAAGTCTACATTAGTATATCTCAAGTCATCACAAATTAACACGAATAAAGACATACAACCGTATATAGACTTATAGGGTTATTGGCGCGGGTCTAGCGGGTTTGCGGGTGTGGATATCATTTTTCCATGCCCACGAGCAAATATCCATCGGGTTTAGAATCACACCCATGCCCGTGCCCGTGGGCACAAACTTAAACCCATATCCATGCCCATCGGGTTTTCTATCCGCGGGCACGCGGATATTTTGTGCCCGTTGCCATCTTTAGCTCATACCACTCGGACCTCACCTCTCCCAGAGAAGCTTTCATCCCCCACCCCCACCCGAAGAATCCAAACGTTATGAGAAGGGACGTGATAAGTAGGGATGAAAACGGATCGGATACGAACGGATATCACCGATATCACATTTGTTTTCATATTTCTGTCTGGATTTGAATTTAAATACGGATAGTGTCAACCATGCCGGATAGGATACGATTAGATATTGACATCATAAATATGCGATTTGAGTATTCAGATACGGATACAATATCGGATGTTGAATATTCAGATTCGGATATGGCCATAACAGAACCCCTCTAAACGGAAAAAAAAAAAAGCGGCAAACGGCATGCTCCCCTCACGCACACGGACAAACGCCCCCTTCGGTATTCGCGGACCCGCTTTCCAGCGAGCAGGAACGGTAATCCTCCGCCACCCAGGGGCAAGGCCTGGTTTAGATTGCAAATATTTGCAATCCGGACACGGTAGCACGTTTCGTTTGTATTTGACAAACTTTGTCCGATTATGGACTAACTAGACTTAAAAGATTCGTCTCGTGATTTACAACCAAACTGTGCAATTAATTATTTTTTTTACCTATATTTAATGCTCCATACATATGTCCAAAAATTGATATGATAAAGAAAGAGCGAAAAAACTTAAATTTTGATGGGATCTAAGCCCAAATCGATAACTCCACGTGCCTTGCCAACTGTAAGCCCGCGTCTTTTATTCCCGGGAGAATTGCAGGCGCAAACTGCGTTTCCAGTTAAGCCCTGGGGAGCACGTATTTATTCCCATTAAACCCCCCGTGTACAGAGAAATCTTCTCGAAGACCTCAGACACACTGTTCTCCAGTTGTTCTTCAATCCCCAAACCCCTCCTCGTCTTCACTCCCCACTTCCTTCAGTCTCCTCCTCCGCGTCGCAATCATTCGTGGGGGCGCAGTACTCCTCCTCGCCCCCGCATTCCAAATTCATGTGGCGTCCACTCTCCCGTCTCCCCACTCGGATTCCGCAAGATTGAGAGCGTTCGCGTTCTCCGCCTCCCAATTTCCGTATCTTTTTCATCTGGGTCGGGCGGCCCGATTCGTTGCCGTCGTCCTCGTCGCCGCCCTGCCCACCACTCCACTTCTTGGAGGACTCGGTCCTGTCCTGTCCTGACTCCGCTCCACCTGTCCTCCTCGCTTCCATCGCCATTGCCGCCCTCCTCGCTCCCTCAAAGCCACCTGCTTTTTTGGACCGCACCGGTCCGAGCCGCGTCACTACCGAGGCGGCGTAAATGCCCGTCCGTGCAGAGGATCCCAGCCTTCCCTCTCCGCCCCAAATCCCGTCCTTGTTCCCATCGATTAAGAGCAGGCGAACGTTCTTGGACGCGTGCTGATCCTACCAGCAGCCACGGATGAGGAAGGCGTCCTGACTCCACTTGCCCAGCTCCGGCGGCTGCTCTGCTCCGCCACCAACTGACATGGGCTTCTTGATCTGCTGCGCCCGCCTCCTCCAGCTGCTGCTGCTGCTCCTCACCACCGCCACCCCACCAGTGGCGGCGCAGCCGCCGTCGCCCGCGAGGCCCCTTGACGCGGCGCTGCAGGACTACGCGTTCCGTGCGCTGTCAGCGCGCCCGCGCACCGGCATTGTCTACAACGCCACCGTGCCGGGCAACCTCACGGGCATTGCGGCGTCCGCGCTGCGCCTGCGGAGCGGCAGCCTCCGCCGGAGGGGCTTCGCGGGCTACTTCCAGTTCGCGCTCCCGCCGGGCGTCGTTCTGCAGCCGCACGTCGAGCGGGTGGTGCTCGTGTACCACGACCTCGGCAACTGGTCCGACCGCTATTACCCGCTCCCCGCCGGGTACACCTACCTCGCGCCTGTGCTGGGGCTGCTCGCCTACGACGCGGCCAACCTGTCGGCCGTGGGGCTGCCGGAGCTCAGCATCGTCGCGTCGGGGGGACCGATCTCTGTGGCGTTCGGCGGTGTCCGGGCGGTGCCGGCAGGTGGTGTGACTCCGCGGTGCGTGGTGTTCTATTTGGATGGCGTGCCGCAGTTCCGGGACCTGGAGGGAACCAATGTGTGCACGACGTATCGGCAAGGGCACGTTTCAATTGTCGTGAATTCCAGTGAGATTGCTCCAGCTCCACCTCCAGCTCGGGCTCCACCTCCAGCTGGCGCGATTGCTCCGCCGATACCGACTGAGGGAGGTGGTAAGAAGGGGAGCTCAGACGCGTGGAAGATTGCTGTCGGCGTGGTTGGGGGTGCTGCAGCGTTGGGGCTGTTGGCTGCGCTTCTGCTGTGCTTGGTGAGGTACAAAAGGGATAAGAAACTTCAGCTCATGGAGCGGAATGCGGAGGTTGGGGAGACATTGCGGATGGCGCAGGTTGGGCGGACGCAGGCGCCTGTGGCGTTGGGGACGCGGACACAACCGGTGATTGAGAACAATTATGCTGCATAGTGGATTTTTCGATTTGCTGGATACTTCTGCTAACAAGAAGACTTGATGATGTTGGCTAGAGCCAAGATTGTCCATTGGTTGCTTGACGGCGGCAAATTTTCTATATCAGCGAGGGCAATGCTAGCCACTAATTTCAGAGCCCAGATTCTGCTCAATGAGGATTCAGCACATTCTTTTGGTGGGTTTGTTCGGAAGCTTAAGTTTTGTACTGCGAGGAATGGGAGGCTATTGTTCATGTTCATAGTTGCCGATGTTCATATGCGGGGAGTTCCTTTCATCTCCAAGCAAGCAATGGAGGAGAAATGTTTGCCATATTGGATTTGGAATCCCCTGTTATTTTTTTTTCTTGGGTTGCTGTATTCAAGAGGAAATGGGTTTGGCAATAAAGCTGAGGTAACATTCATTGCATATCGTGATATGCTGTGTTGGGGAAATTCATTCATCCAGTTGGAATTTCATTTCATTTCTTTTTCTTCTCCATTTGATGTTTAGATGACTGCGAAGATGATGTAGTGATGTAAATGTTCACTTGTCTAGTGCTGTGGTAATTAGTCTGATTGTGATCATAGATTTCATGGACAATTGTGTTTACATCCGCTGTGTCTGTTTTCAGGCAGCATTCATTTCTTTGTTATTGTTTGGGAAACAACTTAATTTCTAATTATGTGTTTTTATGGTCTGACAGTACTACCAGTTCTAGAATTTGTTAATGCTGACTTTTATCAGGTTCCTTGTTCTATTGGTTATGACCAGTTGGCAAAATAAATAGACTTAAACAGAGGAATTCAAGAAATGCTCTGTTAGAAACTTTCCAAACTTGCTGATTTTCTTTTCTCTGGTAGTCTTCTGGCTTGATCCTTAAGTTAGTTTTGAATATTGTAAAGGTTCATCTAGAGCTGTTAGTGGGGACCTAGACTATCAACTAAGAAAAGATACAATGTAAGTATGGGTAGTGTACAAATAAATGTGAGCTAAACAGAAAGATTGAAGACAGCTCCATTTGAAACAATTTAAAAGCTTATCTTTTTCACTGGTAGTATTCTGGCTTGGTCTTCAATCGTCAAGTTGGTTGGAAATGTTGTAAGCTTCATGTAGAGCTGTCATGAGGAGCTAGATGATCTACAAAGGAAGATAGATGCATTCATCTATTCGTTGAGTCAATTGGCACTTGTTACAAAATTCTCCTTACTTATCACTGTTACTGATATTGAAATATGAAAGATGAACCTATGGAGATCCATTCTCTTTGTTTTGCTTTGTACAGTCATGCTGTAGCATGTATCATCTGATTCTCAAAGTAGTCTAGATTTCAGTTGTTTCCTCAAAAAGATTGCGTAACTCATAAGACGAGAGGGCATGAACAGTTTGTGCTAAGGATCAATGTGTGAGCTGGCTAAAAGCTTTAGGCCGGCTCACTTTGTGAGCATGCAGTGTTCTTTTGGGTTTGCACTTCGTTGCTGTATGTTCAGTTTTCATGTTGGAAATGATGAGGAGCATGAGAGAAGTGATATAAGATTTGTACTTGGTAGTATATGAATTGAGATGTGATTGCCACTTGAAAAGTTCAAATTTGGTGCACATGTGCAGTCCCTTTATTTAAGGCAACATGGTATGGTGCTGAAATGAGAAGCAACCTTGAGTAGCAGGAGTAGTAGATGACTAGTAGAACTGGCGGCATTCACAAGCATATGTATGTACTCCATCTAGTAGCAAGCTAAATTAGCTAGACCTGCACACACGTGAGTGATACCTTGTTGCATCCTACAAGGAGTAATAAGGTGAGGCCAAGGATGGCAGATAGAATGGATTTGTAGTGTTTCCCAGCTGGACTGCTGGAACTTGTAGGTGTATTTTGCTGGTGGAAGAGAAAAGAAACAGAAGCAAGGTGACACCAGAACTCTTGCTGCTTGTGGAGATGGCAACAAAACCAAGGTGTGTTTCTTGTTTGGCTGGAGAAGAGAAGACAGGGAGCAGCTGTGGCGTCTCTGGCTGGGATGTTCACTTGTTCAGCCTTTGTTTGTTTGTTTTGTTCACAGGATCCACGATGAAGGGTGAAGACGGAGAAGCTGGTGGTAGTGTGTGTCAGTGTGTGTGAGCTGGGGAGGTTTTTGTTGTCACTTTGGCAGGCTCAGGCACAGCTTTTTGTTGCTAGTTGTAGCTGGCGCGTGGCGTGGCTCCTCTCAGCTTTGGCGTTGTGGCGGAATCTTTGCTGTCACTATGCACGGATTCACAGCTCATGTGGGCTGGCTCTGCTCTCGCCTCTGGAATGTATGCTTGTTTTGTAATGGGAAGATGCAGTTCAGCTGCAGCTGTATGGTGTAGTACTGGGGTGTTAAATGAACTGACTGTTGTTGGAGTACCCCATGTAGTTTGTTTTGTGCTGGTTAACACTATTGTGTGAGTGTGAGCATGGATGGCTCTGATCGCTTGAGCTACTTTTCAGATATGGAATAGTGTTTTTCTCTCACAACATTTTAGCATAAACATCATCATAAACCAAATTTCAGCATAAGCGAACAGGGCAGCACACACAACCAAGGTCTCTGCTCCTTGTAAAAGTCATAATAAGTAATTAAGTACGTACTCTCCTCAAAGAACGTGTTTTCTGTTTCCTCCATCCGGGGTCATAAAACGTGGACATGAACGGATGCACAGCACAGGAGTCGGCACTCGGCAAGTTGGCACCAATCCAATCTTTGCAAATTTTGCTTTTTCTATCTATCTGCTGGTTGACCCCCAAACTCATTCGAATCAATAATTTAGATTTCGAATGAGAACAAACTTGCAATACTCCAAACTAACCAAGTGACCCGTAGCTACACTTTCAATAGTTTGCTAGCGTTTTGGTTTCTCCTAAAAGGACTTCGTCTCCTTTTGTCAAGTAGCTTCTTAAAGCAACTCATGTGATAGTTTTGTAAAATTTATGTCAAAATTGTGAGGAACCATAAGATGCCACGTTTTTGCTGCTCCAGGTCCTAATAAAAAACGGCTCTGGACCCTCTAAACTCCTTGCAATGAGTTATTTTTTTAATGGGTTGTTTGGCATACTTCCGCAGCAAGAGCCGCAATGAGCCGAAGCCATGGCAAGGGACCCTTAGTTTGACATTTGCTACTACTCCACCATTATCATTTGACATTAGAAATGGTGATCCGACACGGCTACACATGAGTGCCCGATGAGTATGGGCGTGGATACAAAATTTCATCCACGGGGTATACAATTTGACCTGTCGGTACAAATGCGGATATGTCATTACTCGCTAGTGCAAAAAATACAAATAATTATTGTATTGTAGCCATAATCTAACTTACGGGTGCGGATACATGTGAGTATCGTATCCGACGGACACCGTTTACCTAATTGGTCGTTTAGCTCGTTTACACACCATTTAAACACTACCCGGTGGTACACCATTTTCGTTTAATCGGTCGTTTATCCTATTTAAACAACCGTTTTGCCTGTTGAAGTGACAGTTTTGCCCGAATAATAACTACAGGCAAGTGACTAACTGTTTACCGTTCAACGTTTAGAATAACACTACTGACGGATGTAGATACAAACAGAAAATCATGTTGACGTGTATAAAATTTTATCTAGTAATAGGTAATTTGTCACGGACGGATATTTAATGCACCTGATCTCATCTGGTCCTCTGAAATCCCTATTTGACATTTTGCGCAGCGGAGATTAACGAGTCGCTCATCACACCAAAGTGGCCAGAACCGTGCAACCGGCCAAGCGTGGATTGTTGTAATTGTTAGGAGAAGAGAAGACTTTTTTCCCCTTTCTTTTTATCATTATCAGTAGTTTCTCTAGTAGTCGATGTTTTTTTCGTACGGCACCCGGCGGCAGGATAGTGGAGTGGGGACCCGAGCTGCTGAGGTTACTTACTTGCTTAATGAATCTAATTAATCACAGGTAGGTCAGTAAAGTACTCGGTGTCTGTCTGTTTGAACGCACACTGGACTCATTTGACCTCATTTGGCGGCCTACATACAAGAAATCATACATAAAAAAAAAAAGAGGAGGTCGGTGGTCATCGTACAACCAAAGCAAATGCCTGCCATACTAGTAGTAAAGTAGCAGTAGTAACATCGTATTCCGCCCTGTATAGAATAGAGAGATACCTACTCCGTACTACTTGGCTACTTGTCACTTGTCAGAGACAAAAAAAAAAGAAAAAATAAATAAGATACACTGCACACGCGAATCGTCCAGGTGTCGCCACTGCAGTAGAAGTAGAAGCAACGCAAGGCGTGTGCAATGCAATATTCAGTTTCAGTCCATTGCCATCATCACCTGGTGCTTTTGCTGTGGGCCGTGGCCCAGAGAAGGCTGGTGTTTTCGACCGACGCTACAAGCCCACGACCGTGAGGCTTTGCATCGTCATCAGCCCACTAGCTCAGGATCGTTCCAACATCCGACTGCCTGAGCCACATGGCTATCGGTATCAGTCCATGTCCATCCTACTGGCCCATCACCGAGTTGCAGCACGCATGAGAAGGTGAATTGTGTTTTTCTTATTTCCATCTCTTCTTCTTCTTCTTATTCTTATACTAAAACATTCAAAATTGATGTCACAACTTATATAACATAGAATACAAGACTTTTTGGCCGCTAGCTATAGCATATTACAGTTATATGTATCGTACAGAAACTAATTTCCACTATATACAAACCGTCATAATACAAATATACCACCTCTAGAACAAATTTAATTCATATATCAAAGCAACTTAATGGATAAAATATAAGCATGAACAGGGCGATATGCCCTTGAACTCTAAAAAATATAAGCATGGAAAACATAACACAAAATATCCATTATCAAAAACTTAATTCAGTAACAGGTTGTCAACAACATCAACGGAGCCAACTGGCCCAGCGGATCGCCGCGCGACGACCCCAGAGGAGGACTTCCTGCTATGGTCACCGCTGCTTAGATGATCGTGCTACTGGCCGGACTCATCGGCGTGGAGGCGATGCATCGGAAGCTGAG